GTGACCATCAGAAAACCACTGTACTGGTTTAGCTTCAGGTCCAGGCAGCCTGGGTATCCTCCCACTCCTGCCCTAGCTCCTGCCGTGTCCACCTAGCCTGAGGCCCAAGGCATGTGGTCTTGCTGAGCCGAGCATGTGCCTCTGTTCCTGGCAGGAACCCCGAAGCTTTGTGGTGAAAGCTGGGCTTCTCCCTCCTGCAAGCAGAGAAGCACGTAGCTGGGTGTGCTGAGGTGTCCTGTTCCCACCCTCGGTCGTTCTGAAAGCAGATGTACCCAGAGAGGCAGAAAGGCCACCTGAAGGTGCAGACCAGCCCCAAAACACAGGGGTTATTGTGACCAGGGCTTATTACTCTGTGAGCAAGTCACAAGGTTCCCGCGCACCGTCAGCCCCACACAGGCAGCTGGGGAGGAGGCCATGATGGCTGTTGGGGCTGCAGTGGTCTGAGCTCTTGGTGGTCACCCCCATGGAGATGCCGTGGGCCTGGCAGTGCCAGATAAGCCATAAATGCCACGCAGGCGCAGGAGCTGCTGTCCGTTAAGAGGGTGCTGGAAGCAGGCTTGCGAAGCCAGCACGTCCCTGGGCAGTTCCCACACCAAGTCCAAAAGAGCTGCGCCAGGGTGGAGAAGCAAGGCCTGTGTCACTGGGGTGGACGTCTGTCCCTGAACTCAGAGGGGCAAGAGGCTTCTCGAGTCTCATGTTTCGATTTTGTAGAACCATCCTGACTCTAAGCCCCAGGCCACAGGACTGGCAAGAAATTCGGTCTCGCCTCACCCCTGTCCAACAAAGGCTTCAGCGTCTAGGTAGCCCCGAGGGGCGCCTGCACATTGGAGTGAGTCTCTCCTCCCTCCCTGCTTCTCAGAGGCCCTCCAGGCCCCCTATCCAGGGCACCCCCTTAACAAAACTAAGGATGTGTCTGTGACCCCAGCCTGCACCTCCTTTTGTGCTCTGTACTGACCTCTGAGTCACGGGGGTATGAATGGGCCTGACCACCTCCTTGAAGTTGGTGTAATGGCTATGTTGCTGGACTCCCATGTAGTCGACCGTGGTTCGTGTCCCAGACCCAGTGACTTAAAACTCACGCCGAGCACGTGTGCGTGCATGCCCAAGATCCCGAGAGAAGAATGGAGGAGAAGGATTGCGGTGTGGCCATTCCCCCTGGGGGGTGATTTCTCGCTTTCTGTCTCTCTGTCTCTCTCTGTCTATCTGGAGAGTGCATGTGCCCTATAGCAAAAACTTCTCCAAAAAAAAAAAAAAGATGGGGAGGAGGAAAAGCAGAAATCATACACTCCAGTGTTCCTGTGGTCCACCCTGCCTCCAACCGGCTCAGGGCCAGTCTCCTAGGCTTCTCCACTGGTTGCCTGGGAATTCTGGGGGAGTTTTATGGCTGGGTTTTGCAGGAAACTGCGGCACCTTGTGACGTGGTTACGGCCTGTCCCTCTGTGGCCCCGGGCTGGCCCAGTGCCAAGCACACCATGAGCGGGCAAGACCTCTGCCTACCGTGTCTGTGTTACCCCTGTCCACGCAGCACAGCACGAGCTGCAGCCGCGGACCTGCCACGCTCCTGCACACCTTCCCCCTGAGAGCGGGAGAGCCGGATGTTCGGGGGTGGTGGTGGGGGGCTCCAAGTGCACACAGCAGGCTCCATGGAAATGACAGAGGTGACCACGTGAGGGAGCGCCAGCCAAGGCCTCAGGTCCAGAGTCCTCTTCAGCATCGCGGTCGCTCAGGTTGTGGGACCTGACGTGGGGGGAGGACTAGCAGCAGAGGCGCGATGGTTGGGATGGTAGATTCAGGAAGGCCCAGAACACGCGGCTGGAGGACTGGGTGGGGAGAGAACCCGCTGGCGTTCAGGTGGCCTGTGTAAGGCATGAGGCGCAGCACGCACTCAGCAGCTCCCAGGACTTTGGGGAGGAGGTGCTGCAGGCCCAGTGAGGGCTGAGGGAGGACTGTGGGGAGGAGGTGCTGCGGGTCCAGTGAGTGCTGGAGGACTGTGG